AGCGTTACAGCCAAAAGGCCGGCATGTCCGCTCTCGGGTCCTCTCTGCTCCAGGCCACTATTTCGAGAGTATTTTGAGGTAACAATAACCACCGACAGAGCGAGCTCAGCCCTTCGAGATCGAAAGGAAGCGGGAGTCCCGGCCTTTCGATCCGAAGCACTCGCCAGGGCCTCTGTTTCCTTCGCTGCTGCCCATCCGGGCGAAGTTCTCGCCGCCGTCAGACGTCGTCCTTCACCACGCCGCGGACGAGGAAAAGGGGACAGGACCGTCCCTTAGCCGCAAGGGCACCCGTTGCCAGGAGCCCTTCTCCGTCGGTACCCGGTTCATCCAGGGAACGGCTAGATCCCGGAGTGTCCTACCTTCCGCGGAAGTTAATCCTGGTGGACCTGCCCGACGCGAAGGTGACACAGTGGAAACTAGCAGATCCGCGACCTCGGTCGATCGTCACCCAAGTCTCCAGGGCCACTCAGACGGACAACCACATCGTCCGGGCACCTTCGACGGTTCTGTCTCCGCTGAGTCCGCCGCCGTCCACGCCTAGGAAACCGAGAACCCCGGGCCGTCCACGGAGCCCGCGAATCGAACCACCGACGACTCCGGACCGCCCTCCGGGCTTGCCAACCGAGTCGGCGAAGCGCCTACGCTCGCCGGAACCTCCGCAAGGCACGCTTGCCAGTCCCCGGCGATCCACGGAGTCCAGCAAGCGTCCCCGGAACCCGGAGCGCTTCCGAGACCTCAAGGCCAAACGGGCTCGATCATCCGGCCCAAAGATACGGTCAATCTCCGAGGAGCATCTCAATCCGCTCCTACAGGTCCGGCTCAAGAAGTTGTTCAACGACAACAAGGAGAACCGACTAACGGCTAGCTCCTCCAACTCTCCGGCGCCGGCACCTTCGGGTGCCACCCGACTTACTTCCTTACTTCCTCTTCCCGGAGTCAATCCTTTATGAGTTTTACCCTGACATTTCCTACCCTTGTAAATATATCCAGAAAATATATCCAAACTGTTAATTATAACCGGAGTCATTTGTGGATTACCCTTCATTGCGCTCCTTCTCCTGATCTATCACCTTCATCCACAGCAATAATGATAGAGAGTATAATTATTCGGACGATTTGGACATAAACAGTTTTTGTTACTTTTGTAGATAACATTAGTGAACAAGCTGAATGTAAAGTAAATGAAAATGTAGAAATTGATAGGTACAACACTTTTTATTGTCCCGAACTTGTAAACTATTTAGTCAAATTAGCAAAACATTTTCCTATTTGGACAGATATAATGACAGAATGTTTTCCTTCATCATCCAGTGTAGCAACTTCAAAATTATTTAACAGAATAAGAAAACTGGAAAGGCTTAAATATTGAAGTAAAAAAATCAAAGAGATCGGAAGGACGAATTCAAGCTAACAAACAAGTAATTATTTTACGAAGAGTTCAATTACATTATCAGAAAAATGCAATTTAACAGACATAGATGAAAATATAAATAACGAAAATAAGGAAAATAAATTAGTAAGCAAAAAAAATAAAACTAAATCTAAACAAAAGTCACTGAGTGAAAACAAAGTTAACCGTCAAAGGGGTAAATATTTGAAGTAATGTCCGGATATACAACTTATATATATGACAGACCGTTTGAGAAAACGAAAGGACGCAATATTGAGAAATGGAAGTAGCTGCAACGTCATTATTAACAGACAAAAGATATATATTAACAATACATGTTCTTTCGATTTGTTAGCTAAAATATTAACATCTGCGTATTGTAAAATTCGGAAAATTTATGTTTATAAAAAATATGCTAACAAAGGAATTGATAACTTACTTTATCAAGAACGAGCTGCGATTTTATGTACCATTTTTTAAATGCATAATAATATTGTTGATTGTACAACTAATCCTAATTTATAAATAAAATTAATAGCAGATTTAGTAATTTTTGAAGAAATAAGAAAGTGTATAAATATAAAATTAAATTTAAGAAATTATTTGTTATAGACGTAAATGAAATACAATTGGTAAATGAAGACTTCAAACAAATGTTTTTAAATTTTATTTCACAATTTTTTGGCCACACGTAACACAAATATAGCCACACGTAAATCTTGTTAATCACAAGTGCAAATGAGCAAAATAACACAAATCATTTGTTTTTTGATTCTGAAATCTTCCAAATGAATAAAATTAAATATTCATGTAGAATAAATTTAAATAATATTCCTGAAAAAATTAATGTATAAAACAAAACATACATTTTAGCTGGTATTGTACGTCATCTTCCTGGACATTTTACATCATTTTGTCGTAATATAACCAGAACATGAAAAGAACATGATGCCATGTGCAGAAATTTCATTTTGTTACAAATGCCGTGTACATACAAATCCGTGTACATACAAATACTTCCATGTACCATAATTTTTGTTAAAAGTACAATATATATATAAAATATTATTTTCATTAATATATTAATAAGTATTTGTTACAATTTTTAGTTATTAAGCTGTGTTATTTTAATACTGTTTTTCTCATTCTTTTAGTTTAGCGTTACTATAATATGAAGTTGTCATGCTTTTTCCCAAATATAAAATTTTCCGTTTATTTTAATTTTTATGGCATTTTTATTTACGTACTATTATTTAAACGATTTTTTATATCGCGCAATATTAAAATAATGTTGGAGAACATTAAGTAAATTTTTATAAAATAAAATATTCTATAAAATTTTATAAAATAAAATATAAAATAAAATATAATATAAAATATAATATAATATATAAAATAAAATATAATATAAAATATTATTTTAAAATCGTATGTGAAAGATTTATTTTGCCCGTTACATATTATCGACATTCTTCAAATCAATAAAATATTACATAACATTTATTTTTAATTTTTAATTACTTTTTCTTATTCCGTTTGAATAAATTTAACATTATAAAACATTAAATGTAAATTTATTTCAAAATATTGATTTGCATGTTAAAAAGACATGTAGAACTATAAC